CGGCGGTGCAGTGACCGTGATCTGGGATATCTGGCTCATGAGATGGGTGGGCAAGATGAAAGCGCGATACCAAGCCCAACGCCGCCGCGCAAGAAACGAACAAGGCGATGCCGAAGAAGAACTCCAACATGCGGATCTCCAGCCAACACCTCCGGTAGAACTCAGGCGACCCCAAGCCGTCAAGCGGAGACCCCAGGCTGGAAGCTCGACTGTAGACGACGCTACATCCTCGCACGAAAACTTGACCTCACACCCCACCCCCATCCATGAACCCGCAACCCACGCCCCCGAACCACCCCAGTCAGAAATGAAATCCCACACCATCTCCGTCAAATTCGGCGCTGCCCTCATCATAACCTTCACCATGTCCTTCATCACCATCATGGCCCTCCGCGGCACCCTAACCTCCACCTCCCGCCCCTTCGACCTCTTCGCAAACATGTACCTCGCCGGCACCATCATCTTCGGCGGCGGGCCCGTCGTAATCCCCTTGCTACGCTCCTACGTCGTAGACCCAGGCTGGGTCACCCCGCGCAACTTCCTCCTCGGTCTAGCCCTCATCCAAGCGTTTCCAGGCCCCAATTTCAACTTTGCAGTCTACCTAGGCGCTCTTGCCATTGCCTCGGCGCCGTCAGGCTCCACACCGACAATTGTAGGCGCCATGCTGGGGTTTCTCGGCATATTCGCTCCAGGCATCGTGCTGGCCGTGGGGGTGCAGTCGTTTTGGCAGGTGCTCAGGACCAAGCCGTGGGTTGTCAGTTTGCTGCGTGGGATTAATGCGACGGCGGTGGGTTTGGTGTTTACGGCTGTGTATAGGCTGTGGGAGATTGGGTATTTGATGCCGGAGAGTTGGAGGGGAGAGAGTTTGGCGGATGAGCCGTGGTGGGTTGTTGTGGCTGCGTTGGCGTATGCTGAGACGGCGTGGTTTGGCATTCCGCCGGCGATGGCGATTTTGTTTGGGGCCGTGTTGGGGATGGGGTGGTATGGGGCTGTTGGGAGCTAGATTAGTTGTGAGAATGCTGTTATAGTGTCAGAAGATTGGACGTAGAGGCAGTGCAAGAATGTGGGTGTAGTAATATGAATCAATCATAGATAACTGTCCTAATGTACATGTACTCATGAGTAACGCGGCTATAGCGACTCCGTATTCGAGGGGAGTAAGAATACCGTTTCTTCCAGCAATCAGAGCATAAAAAAGATCCGGCAACTCTCTCAACCCAACTAAGCCATTCCAACAAACAAACACAAAAGAAAATTTCCGTCTCCATCTGGCTCAGCGAAGAACCTCAGGTAAATCCCGTCCCATGCTCAACCGAAGCAATCTCCTCTCCCCGCCCCCNCAAAAAAAATCAACGTTTTTCAAACTCCAAAGTCCCAATCCTTAACGTGTTGTGATTCGCTTGCTACCCCAAACTCCAAAAATCCCACAGGTAAAAAAAAAGACCAAAAAAAACCATCCCACAGTCAAAACCAAAGCAAAGCAAGCAAGGATAAGGCTACAACTCAAGTGTAGTATCCGCCATTTGGTGCCGAAGTCGAAGTGTTGGGGTCGTTAATCTTGCCTCCGCCGTTGTGGATGATTGGCGGCTTGCTGTAGCGCTGGCTCCGCGACGAGGACGAGGTGGTGTTGGCGCCGGATTGTGTGTAGTAGCTCTGGTATGATGATGATGACGAGGAGGTGGAAGGGCGCGAGTATGAGGTGCCCTTTTGCGGGGTGTACGATGTGTACGAGTATGATGATGATGACGAGGACATGGTTGTGGTTGGTGATGTAGTGTTGTTGGTGGCGCTTGGTGAACTCGTGTTGGATATGAAGGGAGTGTGGTATGGTGTGAAGTGTCTTTGTTGTCTGAGTTGTTTGGGGCGTGATATATTTATTTGATGGAGTTGATTGCTTTGAGTCGAGTATGGTAAAAGGTAAAAAAGAGTACACCCTCGACAGACTATTTATTCCAGGCAGACAACCTACCTGAGGCCGCCATTTAGGGCTTCACCCACTCACGTAAATCCTCCTACTAGTCAACTCGCCAATTTTTTTGCTTCTCTACCTACTGCCATCATAGTTGCCTGAATACCTGGCTTGCTTCGGCTCACGTGTGAGTGGATAGTGCGCCCTAGGGAGGACCGATGATTCACACCTGGCGTGGCTATGTCGTTCTTCCCAAGTCCCGACCGCGTCAGAACATGGCAAGAGAAGAAGGGAAATTAGCGACTAAGCTAGGCTACAATTTTACGGTATGCCCAAACGGGAATGAGGAAGAAAAAGAGTTATCGTGTGGACATGCATGCTTGCGCAAGTTCACCAGAAGGAAGCCATGTTCAGTCGTCGACTAGAAACGCGTCACGGCCGGTCACGGTCCAGGCAATGACTTGCATGTATGGCTGCAAGGCACGATAAGCAAGGAGGCCTATGGCAAGGCATCACTGAAAAGGGTGGAAATGCGTAGTTCAGTGACGTCGCCTTTAGTCCTCAGGCTTCAGCCATTCGGATTGGGAATATGGTAAGAGGGAGAAGGTCCGCTGGCGAGCATTTGGGGTCACCGGTGTGCCAAAGAAAGTATGGCGTGGGGGGCTTAGAACACGGATGCCTGGAGGCATCGTTCTTGAAACGATCACCGTAGTGTATCAGGGGAAAGAAGAAAATGAAAAAAAAAGTTTCGGCGGTTTCCGATGATGTTTGAAACAGGGAGATTGAGTGGGTGGGAAAGACGAGGCAGAGAGGGAAAAGGGCGTCAAGGGCGAACCGAAGGCGCAGTCGGCCTTAGCGGGGGTTGCTGCATGCACCCAACCGTCCATACGGGCAAGGCTCACACGCCATTCACGTGGATACGAGTCATCTATTGACTCAAACTACGATAGCACGGGGATTGCGGCTGTGATCGCGCAAGTGCGCATATGTTCGCCTGCGCATAGCCGGCCGGAAAACTGCTGGAGACATGACGCACGACGTCTTTCCACGCAGGACCAAACAATATCTCCCTCATTTGGCGCACTCGAAAAGTGTGCACCGAAGCGCGGGAATTCGCCCTCTGAAATCGGAATTGGCATTGAACACATTGGGTATCGCTATATTATCGCCCTCCTCTTTTTTTTCTGTCGTACATCTCGCACGCATCCAGTCTTAATCATACAATTTCAACGCACCGTTGAGGTCTCCAGCCACAACCTTCGATGTCTCCCTTGGATGCCACTGTACTGCGAGCACCGGCGCATCGCTAGCTGGAATCTTGTGGTACATTTTACACGTCTTCCAATCCCAGAAACAAATGAAACCCCCGCTATCACCAGAGCTGATGAATTGCCCGTCAGGACTGATTGCCACATCGGGTGCATATCCAGCCACGTTGTGCCCTCTGTAGCTCTTCTTCCGATTCTGTCTGAAGCGGTCTGTCGAACTGTACACCGTAATCTGATTGTCTGACGACTGGAAGGCAACGTATTTACCAGACGGGTGGGGTGAGGAGCGGACCATGGAGAACATGTATGGTTCAGCAATGAACTTGATAGGGACAGGGATACCGTATTCCCATGCGCGGAGGGACTTGTCGTCGGATGTCGTGATGAAACGGCGGTTCTCGTCGCAGAAGGTGATTGTGTTGACAGGCCCTAGATGGTGGTCGTATTCTTGCACCATCTCTCCGCTTCTTGTGTCGTACTGCATGATCTTCTTATCACTCATACCGGCCAAGAACTCGTGCGGCATGCTTGGATTGATGCGTACGACGTGCGGTGTCTTTCCAGTTGTAAACTTATTCAGACACTTGCCAGTCTCCGTGTCCCATATCTTCATGTAGCGGTCATAGCTAGCGGACACGAATTGCGTACCGCTAGGGTTGAAATCAACGTCGACAACCGACTTCGTATGCCCGGAATACGTCCGCAGCAGCTCGCGCTGGTGATACACGTCCCATAGCGCGATCTTAGAGTCGGCCGAAGCAGAGAGGAGGAGGTGACCGCTGTCAGGTATGAAGCGGACTTGGGTAATCGACTTGGTGTGGTATTTGTAGGTGTGGATGAGCTTCTTTGGTATGAAGTTCTTTGGTTCGTAGTCGCCAGTGAGCTTGATATCGAGGTCCGTAGGAACGTGCATGTATGTCCGTCCTTGGTAGTCGTATTGCTGGCTGCCAACAAACTCGCTCGTCTCGCCCTCAGCCCCAGTATCCCGGTAGTCTGTGCCTGCAAGCTTCTTGGGCGCGGTTGCAGAGTTGTCAACAATCTCGTCTTCCTCGTACACTATCTCCACCTCCACATCTGACCCAAACTCATCGTCCGAGGCGGCGTCTGGCCTTTGTTCTTCGTATTTTGCCCAGGGTCCTTTGTATGCACCAGCCCCACTCACGATACTTGAGTCGCCCTTAGCCTCGCGCTTTCTTTTCTTGGATCCCTCTCCGCTTTCGATCGAACGTTGACCTTGTCGGAATGTATGATCGCTAATGTATGTTTCCGCCGCAAAACCGGTTGGGACTCTACCAGAGCCTCCCCCAGCCATGATTATGGTATTCTCGGTGGCTTGGTGATCGCGCAGGTTGCGTAGGCGCGGCAGACGGAGAGTGGATGAGACGTGGTCTTGAATGAAGGAAATCTGGAAATCTGGGGAAAGCTGCCTCGTCATAAATTACGGGTGACTAAGCGCGCCAAGGTTTACCCACTTGCACGTGAAAACCACGAGACAACTGTTGTATTGACCACACAGTGGTTCGCTACAGTGCTGCAGTAGTTAAACAAGGAGAAATTAAGAAAGCTTCTTCGGCGCTAAAACTCGAAAACTCTTTCATGCAAATCAGAAGTTTAAAAAAATTGATTTGAACGCACAATCGGTCTTCGGAACCTGAGAGTTACTATTATTTTTGTTATGAGGGGGAGAGATTCGAACTCCTAGTGTGAAGACTACAATGCGTTTTAGTAATTAATTCGTATTGACTGATATAAAAGGTGACGTGGTAGGACTTAAGATTTGGTTCGGCACCAAAACTTCGAAACTCTTTACTCCAGTCTCAATAAATCGAAAAGAAATTCCATTTGATCCTGAATTCCTCTTCAGTAATTGATGCATTTTACAATACACTAATCTAACGCTATTCATTCCGACGTAACGATATCAAATCCGACCAATCCTATTCCTGTATAACCCTCGCGTACGCATGGCTCCATTATTGGTGCCGGATATCAATGCATTTTCTCCTTTTTCTTCTTGTTCTGCCAGTACCGCTTCTCATACTACTGTTGGGAACATGACTTCCATCAGGATCCAGACAATAACGGAAACGTACATGACTGGGTGAGTGGGGAAGTTCTGTGGCAACACTACAATCGGGGGCATGAGCGGGTGCGACGGCACAGCCCACGACTAATGAGACTCGTCGCGGATAAGAGCAACGATCATGCTGTAGAGGTAGAAGAAGAACATGAGCAGATGGAAGCCTAGCTTGATGAAGGATTCCTAAGTGCGTACATATTAGCCACTTGCACCATCTGGACTGCGTGATCCTCCTACCTTCTTGTGCACATTAAGCTTCCTGAAGATCTCCGTTGCGTCCAGTAGGTGCTGGTTCTCAAAGATCCTGGGACAATCAGCAACGTTACTCTTATCACATGGGTTGGCGTGGGCGGCACGCACTTTTTCGCGTTCCATGCCAAGAGGGGCAGGTTCAGCACCAGAGCCATCCAGTATCCATTGATAAGGAAGAGGAAGGTCAGGAAAGCGTGAACGGCGGCTTCGGGGATGATGTAGGTGTTGAGACGGTTACAGAGATCGATGGGGTTGATGTAGTCACTGGCGCAAAATTAGCTATTGTTCAACAACAGGGCCCTGCGGTATTGTCTGTATGCGACGACGCTTTCTCGGGAGCTGCTCACCATTCGAGATCGCTGTACATGATGGTAAAGAAGACTTGGAGGAATAGGTTGACGGCGTTTATCAACACCGCCAACAAATACAGCCATGCTTCACCAGTCATTGTGGCGGCAGTGTGCAGGGTAAGACGACGATAGTATCGAGACTTGCGAGGGAGACGAGCGGCGTCGCTGGTCGGTGGCTGGGGGCGCGATTGAACAAGTGTGCGAGAGATGCCCAAGGCTCGGATGCGGTCGTGTGTTTGCGGGCTGCCGGGGCTAGACGCGGGAAGCTTAGCTTGTGTGCGGGGCCTAGATGGGAGTTGCGATGACGTCGGAGACGAGACGGACAACTGCGAAGGAAACGCGATGGTAGCGTACAGCAGCACAAGAAAATGGCGAGTAACAAGCGCCTCGGACTTCAGGTAGAGTAAGAACAGACACAGATGTTTGGATGACGTTGAGGCGATGCTTCCCTGGACACAGCAAGCATGGTCATTAGCGTCCTTCGCTTCGCTTGTGAGAGCGCATGCCAGCCACCCTCGTCCGACTGGAGCCCTCATGTGACGGATAACGGCCCATTTGAGCTTTGCGCAGCCACAGCTGTTTCGGCACAAGAGACGCTATCACTATGTTGACATGGCAAGTCATGGCAAGTGTTAGCGCCGGCCATCGCAGGCCGGCCTAGTGCATTCGACACTACTATCACGGCTTGCGGGATATGAATGGGCATAGAGCCTGCACTCTTAGCCTCGTCGCAACTCAACTATTTTATTGCTTGGCATGTTTCTATTCAGTATTCCTTATGACTGTCCCATTCCGTTCAAGAGTCAGCCTTTGCCTCCCCGTTTGATTCGTTGCTGATGGCAGTCGGCATTGGCACAGGGCCACCGGGTGAGTCTGGTAACCTCGCCGTCAGTACCTCTACGCCGTCTTCTGTTATGAGTAGAGTGTGTTCTATACTCGATTAGTTTCTGCAAGTAAGAAAAGATATGTCCCAGCGAGAACTTACCAAACTGCGCCGTCAGTGAACCATCTTGGGTTACACTCGTCCAATCGTCTGGCCATGTCTTATCTCGGTGTGTTCCAATACTGATCATAGGTTCAATTGTGAAACACATGCCCGGCTTCGCTTGCCCAACTGCCTTGTTCTTCGCATAGTGAGGAACGTTGGGTGCGCAGTGGAAAAGCTGGTTGACACCGTGTCCGCAATACGTCCTGATCACGCTGCAGTTTTTGCTTTTAGCATGCTTCTCGATGACGTTGCCATATTCCCGGAAAAGAGTGCCTGGCTTTGCGATTTCAATGGCCTTGTCCAGGCATTCTCGCGCAGTCTCGGTGACCCGTACAGCGTCTGGATTTGCCAGCGCTTTGTCTCCAATGTAGTAGGTCTCGTTCAGGTCCGCGTGGAAACCGCCATGGTAGACTGAGATATCGATGTTGAGGATGTCTCCGTCTTTCAGTACTCTCTGATCGGGAATGCCGTGGCAGATGACCTCGTTGAGCGATGTGCAAACGGATTTTGGGAAATTGCAGTAGTTGAGGGGTGATGGGTAAGACTGCGGCTGTCAGCTTTGCATATCCATAGCCTGAAGTGGTCTCTCTTACATCGCGCTCAATGGTGGCCTTGTGAACAATTTCGTCAATGTAGTCTGTAGTGACACCGGGCTTCGCAGCTCTGCCCGCAATATCTAATATCTCCCGCCCATATCGGCACACTTTGCGCATGGCATCCTGCTCCTCCTTGTTCAAAATGGTAATCTTATTCCTGTTGACGAATACTTGTTCGGACCGCGGGATTCCATCTTTCGCGTAGTCTGGCAATCGAATATGCTTTGGCACTTCTCGGCGCGGTGACAGCGGGTATACGGGCCTGAGAGCCCCGGTGTATGGGTAGGTGGGAAACGGGTTATAGTGGCCCGTGGCTGGATCCGGGTGAGAAACTACTTTCGGCGTGAAGATATTGGAGAGAATACTACTTTGTGACTTGTGCACCTTCTTATGCTCACCCTGCGCGGCGGTTAGATATTGTTCTGTCTCAAATGGGCGATCTCACTATGTACCCAGTTGCGCTTGAAACATTCTTGAGAACAGAAGTAGCTCTCCTTTCCGAGTTTCTGGCAGTTTGGACATTGCAGGGCGCTGGCGTCGTTTTCACAGTCCTGGCCTGAGCATTTGCGCGGGGCGTCCTCTGCAGCCATTGTGTGTTGTGTGCAGAGACTGGTCGTGTGAGAGAGCTATGGCAAAGGATGAACTAGAGACGTCGCCTACAACTAGACCTTTAGACCGATTCTATCCCTAGCGCGCTGTGGCACTTTCTACGGCAAAGGTGGGTTGGCGCAAAAAAATTGCGTGGTGAATGTTCTGTTCGCTGCCAACTCCGCCGCTGCATCCTCAGATCCGTATTCGTTTGCAAGGGTCCAGATTCACCGAGTGCCGATCGCCGATGACTAAGGCTTTCCCGCGCGCTTCAGTTGCGCTTGCCTGTTTAGGACTTAACGTGCATCATCAGTGATACCTTGACATCTTGTCTGACTCTTTGGGTTTTTGTCCGTGGGATGACAATTTCCATCATGTTTATCCCTCAGCTTTTCTAGATACCCGCCATGCTCCTGAAGTTCTGCTCTTTGGTCGTTTCATCTCGTGCTCTAGCTTCGGATCACGGGACCTGCGTATATTTGGTTCAAGTTTTCTCCACTCTCTCCCATCACCTTCCATTACCATGACACAGAAACTGGTTGTTGTCGGAGCTGGGCCGGTAGGCTCCTTGGCGGCCCTGTACGCTGCCGTGCGTGGATTCGAGGTTGAAGTGTATGAACTGAGAGCAGGTGAGCCTTATCATACCCGCAAACCATCTCGGTCCTAATACCCATTCATGCTGACACTAACCAGATCTTCGCGAGGCCAAGACTACTCCACTCACTCACTCAAAGTCTATCAATCTTGCCCTCTCCGAGCGCGGTATCCATTCCCTGCGTAAGACGGGCCTATTGGACCTTGCCGATGCAGTACTAGCCGAGACGTACCCCATGGGTGGCCGTATGATCCATTTGCGAAAAAATGGAGAACACGTTCGTCAAGCACAAGCATACGATGCAAGGGGACGAGTGAGTGTGACTGCATCATGTGCTCAGAGTTGTACTGATGACACCAGAGTTTGTTGGCCATGGACAGAAGTGGTCTGAACAAAACCCTTCTCGATCATCTGGAGGCTATGCCCAATGTGAAGCTCATGTTCAACCATAAACTGGTGGGTGCAGACTTCCGGAAGAAGATTGCATGGTTTGAACATCGCCCCAACTCTCCTGAAGAGCAGGGTGATGAGTTCGAACTGAGCTTTGACCTCATGATTGGTGCAGACGGTGCTCACTCGGCCGTACGATACCATCTCATGAAGTTTGTCCCTATGTATTTCCATCAGGAATACATTGACAAGCTCTGGTGTCAGTTTCACGTCCCCGCCGGACCAAATGGCGACTTCCGAATACCTCCAGGCTACCTACACATCTGGCCCCAAGATGAATCTATGTTCATTGCCCTGCCAAACCTTGACAAGACATTTACCTCAACGCTCTTCTTGACAAGAGAGGGTTTTGAAGAGCTTGATGTATCCGGAAAGGTCGTCGAGTATTTCAATGAAAAATTCCCAGGTGTGGTGCCAGATCTTATTACCGAAGACGATCTACGTCAACAATACAAGGCGAACGCACATCTGCCTTTGATCTCCATCAAGTGCACACCATATCATTACGGAGATTCTGGTGTCATTCTGGGGGATGCTGCACACGCCATGGTGCCCTTCTACGGCCAGGGAATGAATGCCGGATTGGAAGATGTCCGCGTCTTGTTTGAGTTTATCGACAAGTACCCCAATGATCGATCCATGGCATTGAGTGAATACACCAAACAACGCACCCCAGATGCGCAAGCTATAAACGATCTTGCTCTGGGAAATTACCGTGAGATGGCGAGTGATGTCAAGAAGCCATTGTATCTTTTGAGGAAATGGGTTGAGGAGAAACTATACATCTACGTTCCCAGCGCTGGATGGGCTACCCAATACTCGAGAGTAACATTCAGCAACATGCGATACTCCGAGGTACAAAAGGCAGCTCAACATCAAGCGGAGATACTCAATAGAGTCGTTGGTATTGGCATAGTATCTATCCTCGGGTCTGCATTCTGGTTTGCGAGATCTGGAGGTGCACACCAAGTCAAGATGGGTATCTTGCGGTCGATATGCGTGCTCGCACAGAAGCTGCAGAGCTTTACTCGGCGCTAAGCAGACCCCATTAGAATGTTTGGACATTCCATGCATGTGGAACGAGACGGCATTTCTCATGACCGTCAGCTGCTACAATCAACACACCTCGCTACTCATTCAAAACCTCGAAGAACCATCAACGGGCTCATTGACTGCACTGATCTTTAGACGGATATGTCTTCCTAGGTGATACAAGTAGCAGTTATGAGTTCTTCTATTTTTCCCGATACTTAGCCGGTTCGTTAAACCTCCGGACAGGAGATGGCATGTAGCATACAGGTTGACGTACAGCCTCCGAATTTGGACATGGAACATCGCCCCATGTTGCGCTTTGGGCGGCGGATATGGTGATGTTCCACAATTTTCAATCTATTTCATGACCCGAAACGTTCCTGTATCACAGTACATTAGCCCACGTGAGCCTTTCATGGAGAGCCCCACACGCAAAATGTGGGGAGAGGAGTTTTTACCAAGCGAGACAAAATTTATAGTACCAAGATGTGATGCTACATCAAAGTTGCACACGCTCGGGTGAATCAAACGTCGCAAAATAAAAGCCTTCTCGGTGAGCTGAGATATCTACGCGTGCATTGACTTTGCAAGTCAAGTCGCTTGCATTTTTACTGCAAACCTTCAGGGCCTCCTGAGCTGGAGAATGCAACGATTTCATCATTGTACTAGCCTTTCTCCGGTATATGTTGACTTTCGGGTTTATTCACTTTCCCGAGTACATGGATCTTTTGTTCTATGTTCTACACACTATGCGGATAAAAGGGTCAGCCACTCACAACCCAGTTAGTGGTTGCCACATTGCAGATCCGACTTCTAGAAACGAGGACCTGTTGGATAAGAAACGTCAAGCAATCAAGGTCTCTAGGAACTGATTCCATAGGCAATCGATCCCCTTCCTATCGACATGGCCACATGGTTTATCCGCCTCATAACCTTGCTTCTTGGCCATGGCTACTTTCGTCACACGTGTTAGTCCTGGATAAAGTTGCTGTTATCTTGGTTCCTCGTTTCCATGTACACACATATCGCTGGGGTATATTCTACAGAGTTGATCAAAGTTAATAAGACGGCAGTGTACCACCTTGGCATACTTCAGAGCCTCTTATCAGCTTATCCCCTTGCTTAAGATATCTCTTGTGACACAACAATATTCACACTTCAGTAGCATCAGTGCTAGCATTTGAGTTTCCAACACCCAGTTCATTGAATTAAAGGCAAAACGACAATCATGCGTTTCACAGGCGGCCTCGCGGCCATAGTCAACCTTGGTAAGCCGTACAGCACCAGTGACCCATTCCCTATCCTAACACCACCCACCAGCTCAAGCATGGCCAACATCATCCGACCACACTCTTTCATCACGCTCGGCGAGCTACAAAGATCCCGAAACTGGCTTCACCTTCTCCGAAACCAAAGCCGCAGCTACCCTGACCAGTAACATCATCTACCGCATAGCGCAGCCCGCAAACATTTCAGCAAACCAACCTTACGACATCGTCCTCCAAGTCATCGCTCCCAGCTCCTTGGGCTGGGTCGGACTCGCCTGGGGTGGCAACATGGTCCGCAATCCACTCACTGTCTCGTATCCCAACGGGCAAAAAGCGACCGTGTCTTCCCGCTGGGCTACGTACGTCCTCCTCCTCCTACCTTCTCATTCCCCCCTTCTCTCACCAACCCCTCACCAACAAAACGAAACGAAACAGAGAAAACTGGCTAACAGATACATAAAAAGCGGTCACTCAACCCCACAACAATACCCCTCCGCAACTTACACCCAACTCTCCGCGGGCAACAAAGCAAACGGCACGCACTGGCAAGTCACTGTCAAGTGCACGGGTTGCACTACGTACAATGGTTCTTCTGGGCCGGTGTATGTGGAGCCGAGTGGGAGTCGGCGGTTGGCATTTGCTTGCTCGCAGGGTAAAGTGAGTAATCCAGGGTCGGCGAGTGCGAGTATCCCGGTGCACGATGTGTACAATTATATCACGCATGATTTTAGCGCCGGGAGGAATGAGGGGTGGGCGGCGTTGTTGGAGAGGAATGGGGTGTAGAGGTCGGGGGGAAAGGAGATTGAAAGGGGAGTTTTGCTGTGGATCTTCTTATGGAGAGGAGGGGTTCTTGCTTCAATTTGTGGATTTTTCTTTTGGTTTGGCTTGGTTTATATGGTTATGGCATGGCATTTGATTTGGGTTAAGTTGTAGAATGTGAATTCATGGGAATTGATGTTCATGGCATGTTTGGGGTATACAATAGCGGTTTTATGATTTACGGCAGGCGTTTCTAGCGGAAAGTTTACAAGTGAATGTAATGCTGACGACCCCTCATACATCGTTTCTGCAAGATCGGGGGGGGGGGGGCTAAAACGATGAAAGTCCCGCGATAGCAACAGTTAAACCCCCAGCAAACTCGGCAGATGTGTCTAAGCTCCCATAGGCATGTCTCCAAGCGGCAAAGACTTAAGCCCTGATTTGATAGTCAGTTGCTGCAACACGCCCAATAGCAGTACTAAAACAAACAAAAGCGAGCAGCTCCGACATAAAACAGAACACAAAACTTACATCCATCCACCTGCTCAGGCGCCTGCTGCTTCTTCTTGCAAGCATTATACTGCGCAGGCTGCTGCGTCGTAAGGCCCGCCTTGGGACAAGGATTATTCAAATTGCACCCGTTATCCATAGCTTTTTGGAGCGAGTCGCCTTCCCAGCCAAACACGTAGTCGCCGTGGGCAGCGGGTCCACTATGAATGTACCCTCGTTAGCTCATACTTCCACCAGTAAGAGAATAAAGAATAGAGGCAGTATTACCCAATCCCCATGGAATAAACAAACGGATCCGATCCATCCGTCGGCCACAAACTCCTGTCGGCAAACTTACTCACATCCCACATGAGCTCGTACATGATCTGCGGCAGCTTCACGGGATGGCTGGACGGACACGCGCCACCGCCGTTTGCACCGCTGCCCTGGCCGTACGCAACGTGGCTCTGGTGGTCTGGTGAGTCGAGGTTCTTGCCGTCCCAGCAGGCGGGGAAGATGATGGTCTGGCGGATGAGCTTGCACTTTGGGTCTTTGGGGATGTCGACTGTGTCGGAGCCGGTGCAAGGGGCGCCGCCGACAAAGGTGTCTTCGGAGGGGGAGGTCCAGCAGCGGTGGCAGATGTTTGAGAGTTTGACTTTGCTGGGGTCTTTGTTGGTGGCGGAGCCGACGAGCATACGAAAGCCTTTTTTAAAGGCGGTGGTTTTACCACTTGGAATGTAATAAACGTCCAAACCGCCGTCATTGATGAGCTTTCCTTGGGGTCCGCCGTTGCCAATCTGGTGTGTTCTGAGTTAGTCATGGTGGCTCTATGTTTACTCTGTCTGGTGTCTTTGCTCACCTGAGGCACGCGGATATAAGTCCCGTTTTTGGCTTTAAAAAACATGACGGCTGTCCAGTAGTTTGATTTGTCTTGTACGAAGCTGCAGGATGTGCATGTGGATGCTTTGGCGAGGTCGATTGAGGGATCCATGGTGATGTTGAAAGCGTCGCCTCCTACAATCTGGTGCAGATGTGGAGTGTACTTCATACCGGGATTTACCAGAGGGTCTGTACGCTCAATGACGAGTTGCGAGCACGCAAATCGTAACATGTTTTGCCCGACAGCCATGTTGGCGAGAGCCGCCACAGTGAGGATGATGTTACTCCAATGCATCTTGGTTCGGTCTTGAGGGCCAGAGATTTGGACAATTGGGCTCAAGAATGGGCTATTAAGGAGGTACAAGAAGAATAGAATATGAAGCAGACATTATGAAGCTTTCTCTTATAAGCGTGTGGCACAGGCGTGCGGGCTCGTTGGGAAGACGACCAGAAGGGTATTTGCCGGACCACTTGATGGCTGTCATCAATAATCACTGAGACATATTAAGTTAATATAAATGATAATAGTCATTGGGTAACAGGGTGTTCCTTTTCCAATCTATTCCATCATGTCTCATGACGGGCTGATGGTCAACCAGACTTTGCAGCCAAACCAAGGAAATCGATTACGGGCTTGGTGACGCCTGTTAGATCACCTTTTCCAATTGATCAACAAGAGTCCATGGAAATCATACGCCTGTCAGACAGTGCTGCAGGTGATATTGCCTTTGTGATATAATCGGCAGAGCACTCACCCACTGTCTGGTCCCACGACTCTAAGCAACGGCATCCTGGCTGTGGGGCAGCAGAATTTGCATCGAGAGGTCCCTTCTGCCTGACTGGGTAGGGCCTATGAAGGAAACCGCATCCAAATGGAACTTTCTGAAGCCTCGGTGTCATCCATGAGATGTTCGTGGATATTCCGGTCACTGGAGGCTAGAACCGAGTGTCCTGTAGTGACTAATTCAAGATGGCGAAGAGCAAACGCTCCGAATGTAACACCAATGGGAAACAATGGAAACTCACCCACCAACTAATACAGCATGTGGGGCACGGGTCGACAGCAGGATGGAGGGTATTTGCACATCTGCCAAATCAGGCCAATGTTGACGCGGCGTACATGCCAAGATCCCATAATGTCTTGAACCTTTCAAAAGAAGGATTGCCATACCATCAAGGGGCCGAAAAGGGCACATGAGGCTTCTGGGTCCGACAGCCTCTAAATAGCACTGTCAATACAGGCAGTGGATTCAGTGGGCGGTGAATGCCATCATGTGGCACGTCATTTGAGGAAGTGGGGCATTTGTATATGTGGAGATCCCAGATAGTATCTGGGCGAGAAAATCATAGTATGCCTGCTGATCGAAAGCACCATGGGCAGCTCTAGATGTTAGCAGATGAGATATCGTAGATGGGCGAAACTCAATAATGGGCGTTGTTGAAAGGTAGCATGGCAGTTTGTCCATTGAAAGCAATCGCTTACCCTTCTCAGCCACCAAGTTCGTAGAGTGAGATTGATCAACTTTGTCAAGCGCATATTTTGCTTGTCGTTCACCGAATACCGAGCAGACGCTTTATCCAGCGAGGGGAGCACCAGCTGTGGTGTTGGCTTGGACGGACAGTGAATTAATTCATACCGCTCATGAGCGACAGTGGCTAGCTTCTGTGGCTGACGAGCGACAGCCGTCGATTGGTGTCGCTCG